TTTTCCAGACAAACCCACGGCGAAGATCGAGCCGCACCCTCAGTACCCGCGGGAGGGGGAGAAGCTGCAGCTGCAATGTGACGGCCAGGGCAACCCCATGTAAGGCCTTCCTCACCTCCCTCCTCCTCCTCAGCGCCTCCCCTGCCTCTGCCAGGTCCCACAGCCCAAACCAGCAGGGGCTGGGCTGCCTTTGGGGTGTCCCTGTCCCTGTCCTGGGGGGTTCCATGAGAGCCCGCCTGTCCTCTCCTGGAGCAGCAGATCCATCCTGAATTAAATATTTCCCCCTAAATTAAACATTTCCCCCTAAATTAAACATTTCCCCCTCAAGGAGCTGGATCTGGATTGGATTTAAGAGGAATAAAGTGAATTTTTATTGAAATGCCATCAAAAGCCACATCCTGGCAGTGCCCAGATGGCTCCAAGATGGATGAAAAAAGGGCTTGGTCATGAGATCTCACATTTTAATTAGTTTTAGTCCAGTTTATAAGTTTTAGTCCAGTTTGTAAGTTTTAGTCCAGTTTATACGTTTTATTTTCATTTATTTGCATATTGATAGCTTCAAAAGATGAAGTTTCATCCTCCTTTTGTACTTCTTTTCATGTTATTTATGATTTGGGCCTGAAGTTTGAAGAGATTGGCCTTGGGTCTCTCCAGCTAGAATAGGATTGTTTGGTGAAAAGATCCCAGTGACATTAGTATAAAGCTAAACAGAAAAACCCCAAGAAATCAGTTTCTCCCCATCCCATTCCTTTAGGATTTTGTCTTCCCTGCCCTATAAAAAAACCCCAAAAAAACAGTACCATTAATATGAAACTAAACAGAAAAACACAACAGAAAAACCCCAAGGTATCAGAACAGAAAAACCCCAAGTTATCAGCTGATCATCCCATTCCTATGGGATTTAACCCTCCCCACCCTATAAAAGATCCCAGTGACATTAATATAAAACTAAACAGAAAAACCCCAAGGAATCAGTTTATCCCCATCCCATTCCTATGGGATTTTTTCTTCCTCACCCTATGAAAAGATCCTAGTACCATTAATATAAAACTGAACAGAAAAACACAACAGAAAAACCCCAAGGTATCAGAACAGAAAAACCCCAAGTTATCAGCTATCATCCCATTCCTATGGGATTTAACCCTCCCCACCCCATAAAAGGTCCCGCTAAGCCAGGGGAGGCAGGGCCTGGGTTCCCACGCCCGGTTCTGTCGCAGCCCGCAGGAATTCCTCTGGGAGAAGGAGGGCAGCGACGCCCCCCTGCAGCTGAGCTCCGACAGCGTCCTCATCTTCCCCTTCCTCAACAAGAGCGACAGCGGCACCTACGTGTGCACGGCCACCAGCTCCATGGGCAGCGTGGTGGCCAAGTACAACCTGGACGTCAGCGGTGAGTGCGGCCCTGCTGCCACCGGGTGCCCAAAATGTGGCACTGTGTTATCTCTGTCACCTGTGTGCCCACAGAGTGGCACTGTGTCACCTGTGCATCATGTGTGCCCAAAATGTGGCACTGTGTCACCTGTGTGCCCAAAATGTGGCACTGTGTGTCACCCGTGTGCCCAAAACATCCTGTGTGCCCAAAATGTGGCACTGTGTGTCACCTGTGTGCCCAAAATGTGGCACTGTGTCACCTGTGTGCCCAAAAAGTGTTACCGTGTCACCCGTGTGCCCAAAAGGTGGCACTGTGTCACCTGTGCATCCTGTGTGCCCAAAAAGTGTCACAGTGTCATCCCTGTCACCTGTGGGTGAGGGCGTTGCATCCTGTGTGCCCAGAATGTGGCACTGTGTCACCTGTGTGCCCAAAATGTGGCACTGTGTCACCTGTGTGCCCAAAAAGTGTCACCCTGTCACCTGTGCATCCTGTGTACCCAAAATGTGGCACTGTTTCACCTGTGTGCCCAAAAGGTGGCACTGTGTCATCCCTGTCACCTGTGGGTGAGGGCATTGCATCCTGTGTGCCCAAAAGGTGGCACTGTGTCACCCATGTGCCCAAAAAGTTGTCACCGTGTCACCTGTGCATCCTGTGTGCCCAAAATGTGGCACTGTGTCACCCGTGTGCCCAAAAGGTGTCACCCTGTCACGGGCGTGCCCAAAATGTGGCACTGTGCATCCTGTGTGCCCAAAAAGTGTCACTGTGTCATCCCTGTCACCTGTGGGTGAGTGCATTGCATCCTGTGTGCCCAAAAAGTGTCATCCTGTCACCTGTGTGCCCAAAATGTGTCACTGTGTCACCTGTCCTGGGGTGGGAAGGGGCAGCTCCTGCTGCTCCCCACGTGGTGCTGTCCCCTGACTGTGCTGTTTGTCCCCATGCCATGTGTCACACATGGGCCAGAGCTGTGTGTGTCCCCATGTCCCCATGCCATGTGTCACACGTGGGACAGGGCTCTCTGTGTGTCCCAATGCCATGTGTCACACGTGGTTCAGGGCCGTGTGTGTCCCCGTGTCCCCATGCCATGTGTCACACATGGAACTGAGCTGTGTGTGTCCCCATGTCCCCATGCCATGTGCCACACATGGGGCAGAGCTGTGTGTCCCCATGTCCCCATGCCATGTGTCACACATGGGGCAGGGCTGGCATGCTCAGTGTCCCCATGTCCCCATGCCATGTGTCACACATGGTTCAGGGTCATGTGTGTCCCCATGTCCCCATGCCATGTGTCACACATGGGGCAGAGCTGTGTGTGTCCCCATGTCCCCATGCCATGTGTCACACATGGTTCAGGGTCATGTGTGTCCCCATGTCCCCATGCCATGTGTCACACATGGGACAGAGCTCTGTGTGTCCCCATGTCCCCATGCCATGTGTCACACATGGAGCAGGACTGGCATGCTCAGTGTCCCCATGTCCCCATGCCATGTGTCACACATGGAGCAGGGCCATGTGTGTCCCCATGTCCCCATGCCACGTGTCACCCATGGTTCAGGGCCATGTGTGTCCCCATGTCCCCATGCCATGTGTCACACATGGAGCAGGACTGGCATGCTCAGTGTCCCCATGTCCCCATGCCACGTGTCACACGTGGTTCAGGGCTGTGTGTGCTGTGTGCTGCTGCCACCCCAGCTCCCTGTGCCCA